TTAGCTCTTCAGCTCAAGGCGAGCGCTCTACCACTTGAGCTACAGCGCCACTTCCGGTTTTCTGGTGGTTTATTGGAGATAGGAGTCTCAGGGTCTCTCCTGCCCGGGCTGACTTTGAACCGCGATCCTCAGATCTCAGCCTCCTGAGTAGCTAGGATTACAGGCGTGAGCCACCAGCGCCCAGCTCAATTGAGACTCTTATCTCCAATTAATCAAAACATCTCTTGGTGAGTTGTAGCCAAAACAAACAAAAAGGATCAGGCACCATACCTGGGCCCTGAGTTCAAGCCCAGGTGCAGTGCCCATGCTTGTGCTCACATACACATACTAAATATTTTGGTTTCAGTCATGAAGCTTGAACTCTGGGCTTGGGCACTGTCCCTGAGCTCTTCAGCTCAAGGCAAGCACTCTACCACTTGAACCACAGCACCACTTCCGGTTTTCTGGAGGTTAATTGTAGATCAGAATCTTAGACTTCCTGCACATGCTGGTTTTGAACCAGAATCATCAGATCTGAGCCTCCAGAGTAGCTAGGATTAAAGGAGTGAGCCACCAGCGCCTAGCTAACAAACGCACTAAATTGGTACATGTTTCTTTTTGTGTATGTGCTGGTCGTGGGCTTGAACTCAGGACCTGGGTACTGTCCCTGAGCCTTTCTGCTGAAGGCTAAAACCCGACCACTTAGGTCACAGCTCCACTTGTGGCTTTTTAGTTGTTAGTTGGACTGAATTTGAATCATGATCCTCAGAGTTCAGCTTCCTGAGTAGCTAGGAGTACAGGCACGAGCCTAATGCCCAGCTTAGATTTTCCTTTCTCAACTTAAAATAGCATTCTTAGCTCTTAGTGCTGCTTTATTTCATTTCTAAATATTTCAGTTGACATAGCAGTTGTATATTATGTATTAGGAAATAACTACATATTGTATTATGAAATATATTACCATTGATACCAACAATAAGCTAAGTCTGTAGTCTTACAACCTGGTTGTAAAATTTGATATTTTAACAGATAGTTTTTTTTGTTTTTTGTTTTTTTTGTTTTGTTTTTGCTTTTTTGTCTTTGTTTCAGAGTGGAATTAACCAAGAAATCTGGTGGTGAATTCTGTTTTTAGTTTTGTCTTCTGGTCCTATTTTATTTATAGATGCTGAAGTGTCCTTTCACAGTGAGACTGGGAGCCAGCAAAATGGATGCCCTTTATTTCAAGACAGCTCTTCAGCAGAAGTTTTCTCCTTTGTGTCCAAAGCCTCAACTTTTCCAATCATTTCCAGTATGTTTGAACAAGACACAATGCTATCATACATCACCATGCTGCTTTAAGAAGAAGGAAAAGCAAACAGTTGCCAGGCCACCAAGCACTATCACTTACCTGCTCGATAGCCCAAAGCCAGCATTATATCTAACTCTGGCAGGGCTAATCCCTTTGGTTGCTCCACCAGTGTTCATGGTCATGGCAAAGACCTATATCCCTGGATTAGCTTTTTCTCAGATGGCTTATGGAGCCAGTTTCTTATCTTTCTTAGGAGGAGTCAGATGGGGCTTTGCTCTACCAGAAGGTAGTCCAGCCAAACTAGACTACCTTAATTTAGCTAACAGTATAGCTCCTGTTGTGTTTTCATGGTTTGCTTTCCTCTGTGAAGGACTCACTGAGGCCGTAGTCACAGTTGTAGTAGGTTTGGGGATAGCATTACATGTTGAAGTTTTTCTCTTGCCACAGTATCCCAACTGGTTCAAAGGCTGGAGGATAGTAACCACTTTAGTGGCATCTTTTTCATTTGCAGTCACTTTAGTGGTTCAGAATATTTATCCAGAGAAAGGACACAAGAGTCATCATCAAGTAGAATAAATGTAAAATTACTTTGTTGATAACAGCCTGTTGGCTACTAGACTTGTAAAGTTTCAGTTTATCATCACCTTCTAACTCCCCTGTTCGGCTCTTTTTTTTTTTCCCCCTTAGCAAAACTAATTTATTTGTCTCAGGTTTTTCATCTCTTTTATTTTTGATTTTTTTTGTCTGTCTTGGAGCTTCAACTCAGGTCCAAGCCACTGTCCCTGAGCCTTTTTTTCCCCTTTGTTAGTGAAGGCGCTGTGCCTGAGCTCTTTTGCTCAAAGCTAGCACTCTACCATTTTGAGCCACAGCACCACTTCTGTTTTTCTGGTGGCTAATTGGAGATAAGAGTCTCACATACTTTCCTGCCTAGGCTGGCTTTGAACCGTGATCCTCATTATCTCAGCCCCCTGCAATCCTTAGATCTTAGTCTCTTGAGAGCTAAGATTATAGGCATGAGCCACTGGAGCCTGGCTAGGCTTTTCATTTCTTTTAAAAAAAGGGGGGTGGGGAGGCTGGGAAGGTGGTTCAGTGGTAGAGTGCTTGCCTCTCATGCATGAGGCCCTGGGTTCAGTTCCTCAGCTCCACATACACATAAAAAGCCGGAAGTGGGCGTGTGATTCAAGTGGTAGAGCGCTGGCCTTGAGCTGACGGCTCAGGGACAGCACCCAGGCCCCAAATTCAAGCCTTGACCACCAATAAAAAATTTAAATTTCGGGCTGGGATGTAGCTCAGTGGCAAAGCACTTGCCTAGCAAGTGCAACGTCCTGGGTTTGATCCCCAGTACCAAAAAAGAAAAGACAAAAAAAATACAGTTAAAAAAAAATAAATAAAAAACAACCTTTTCGTCTGTATAGCTACTCAGGAGGCTGAGATCAGAGGATCACCGTTCAAAGCCAACCTGGGCAGGAAAGTCTGTGAGACTCTTATCTCCAATAAACCACTAGAAGTGGCGCAGTGGCTCAAGTGGTAAGGCGCTAGCCTTGAGCTGAAGAGCTGAGGGACAGTGTCCAGGCCCAGAGTTCAAGCCCCATGACCAACAACAACAAAAAATAATTAAAGTTTCATGGTGATTAGAAGATCTCCAAGTCTTTGTCATGTCAGTAGTTTACATTCAGCCTTTTTATGAATTGAATAATCATTCACTTAAACATTTCAGTGTTTTGTCTTGAAAAATGTAAAATAAAAGTTAAAAAAAAAACCTATTAGAGTCTTTTTTGGGGGGAGGTGGGTCATGGAACTTGAACTCTGGAGCCTGGGTGCTATCCCTCAGCTCTTCAGCTCAAGGCTAGCGTTCAACCACTTGAGCCACTGCACCACTTCTGGTTTTCTGAGTAGTTTACTGCAGATAGTTTCACGGAGGTACCTGCTTGGGCTGGCTTTGAACCATGATCCTCAGATCTCGGCCTTGTAAGTAGCTAGGATTATAGGCATGAGCCACAGGAGCCTGGCCCTATTAAGGTCTTATGATCATTAAAAAAAGAATGCACACATGCCTGGTGCTGATGGCTCACGCCTTTAATCCTAGCTACTCAGGAGGCTGAGACTAAGGATTTCAGTTCAAAGCCAGCCTGGGCAGGAAAGTCCATGAGACTCTTATTTCCAAAAAACCACTCAGAAGACTGGCAGTGGCACTATGGCTCAAATGGTAGAGCGCTAGCCTTGAGCTGAATTGCTCAGGGACAGTGCCCAGGCCCAGGGTTCAAGCCCCATGACCAACCCCCCCCAAAAAAACAAAACACACGGAATGGGAAGATGGCTGGCTCAGTGGTAGAATGCTTGCCTTGCATGCATGAGGCCCTGGGTTTGATTCCTCAGCACCATATAAGCAGGAAAAACACAAGTGGTGCTGTGGCTCAAATGATAGAGTGCTAGCATTGAGGTGAAGAGCTGAGGGACAGCACCCAGGCCGAGTTCAGTCCCTACAACTGACCAAAAAAGAATGTACACATTTCACAGAAAGAATTGTTCTACTTCATGAGAAATACCTCATATCCTGAAACAAAAATGGTTCCAATGTGTTTTCATACAGTTCCCCTTGGAATTGTATATCAAGTTTATTTTACCAGGTATAAACTAGTTTTAGGAGATGAAGGAATCTGTAGATCGGAAAGTAAAGGAGTAAGTCTCACAGGAACAATTAGATACATTTTCTAGGTTTTATCAAGATATTTAGTATGGCTTAGAAACAACTTAGTGTCTTAACACTCAACAGTAAAACAAACTGGTCAAAAATATTTAAAAGAAGCTGGGTGCTGGTAGCTTGTCCTCATAATTCTATCTATTCAGGAAGCTGACATATGAGGATTGTGGTTCAAAGCCAGCCCAGACAGGAAAATGAAACTCTATCTCCAATTAACCACCAGAAAACAGCAGAGCTGTGGCTCAAAGGGATAGAGCCCTAGCCTTGAGCAAAACTGCTCAGGGATAATGACCTGAGTTCAAGGGAGATGTGCTGGAGGAGCATTAAGTTGTTTACTTTCTTACACTTCTGTTGGATTGTTGAAGTCCCAACTCCAATTCCTCACCATACTATCTTTTTCAGAGATTGGGCCTTTATGTAGATAATAAGGTTAAGGTGAAATGATTGTGATGGCTTTAACATGACATGACTTGCATTCTAAAAGGGAAGATGGGAGACAAGACAAACAGGAAGAATGCCATGTGAACATGATGGGTGAGGCACAGAAGACATGCTTCCCCCATTGCACTCAAAAAATTGTCAACACTTTGCTGGGTACTGATGGCTCACGCCTGTAATCCTAGCTACTCAGGAGGCTGAGATCTGAGGATCATGTATGACTTATCTAATTAACCACCAAAAAAAAAATTAAACTGTGGGTCAAAGTGGTAGAGCACTAGCCTTGAGCAAAAAGCTCAGGCACAGAGCTGGGAAGGTGGCTCAGTGGTAGAGTGCTTGCCTTGCATGCATGAGGCCCTGGGTTAAATTCCTCAGCACCACATAAGCAGGAAAAAAAAAAAA